GTGTGAGAGAGAGAGGCGGTGTTAAATGAGTCTTTTATTGTTTATAATTACACCCTTATGTTCCGTGCCGACCAAGTGTGAGTGTGTGTGTGTGATTTCTTAATGAATTACATTACAGAATTGCTTAATTATGTTATCACTACAAATCCACCCCTCACCATAAAATGAGCTAATATTCACTCAGTTCATCTAGCATTCACCTAACATCCAGCTAACACTTATCTAACATTCACCTAACGTCTGCTGTGACCCCTCATTCCAGTGCATAATGTATGTAGACGTATAGCTCAACTGGTAGAGCATGTCTCCAGCAATGCCAGGGTCATGGGTTTGATTTCCAAGGATCCCTGAATCCTAGAGGAATAAAACTAGCACCACTGGAGATGAAAAATGTTTAGAACTAAAAAATATTTTAAGTAGAATTTAATTGTTTTAAAAAAGCCTGTTTATATAATAAATATGATTACATTTAAATCTAAATATATACTTCAGTTTTTGTTTCGCATTTGTGGTTTGATATGGGGAATTAACATCAAGGAGAATATAGAGATAAATAGATCTGGAATAATTGCACATATTTTTAATGATGTGGTCATTTGAATAATGGATAATAATTTTATAATAACTATTGAGGACCGTAATGTAGCTGTAATTTTGTTATGAAGAGTAATAACCGACTCCATGAATATTTTATGGGTTATAATCTACTCTAATGGTTTCATTAACCGCAGTAATGCGCTAAAGGTCATAGGACTGGTAATAATGTTGCATTCAAACACATTTCTGCACTAATGTCACAGACCTCTACACAAAAAAAACATCAGTGATACCTGGTAAGTGCTTAGCTTAAGTGTTTGTTTGTTTGTCTGTATGTTCAAAATGTTCATTCCATAACTCCATAAAGTTTTTTTCTCTACTGAACTTTTTACCTGTTTGTGTTTAATTAACATGGTAATAACTCTTGTTTCTGTTACAGTCCAACTGCAGCTCGCAGGCTTCATCTGGCCGTCACTCGGTGTCTGTGGAGGTGCAGTTACAGAGGCAGGAAGCCAGAGATGCTTTCACACATGCTCAGAGACAGTACAGCTCTCTGCCACGGTACGCGTGCAGTGTGGAGTGTATACCAATGGTGCTTGTTGTTATCTAGGCCTATTGGTCGAAGCACTTAACCGTGTGAAATCAAAATTAGGAGTTGGGTGGCTTGTAGTCCATGTCTGTTAGCTGTAAGACAGGGTCAGTATGATTTTTAAAGTTAATACTTTTATTCTGTAAGGATGCATTAAATTGATCAAAAGTGAACGTAAATACGTTTTAGATTAAATGCTAAATAAATGCTGTTCTTTTCATGAAAGAATCCTGCAAATTGAATCATGGTTTCCACAAATATTAGGCAGCACAAAAAAAATTCTTGTGCAGCAAATCAGCATATTAGAATGATTTCTGAAGGATCATGTGACACTGAAGACTGAAATTCAGCTTTGTCGTCACAGGAATCAATTATATTTCAAAATATATTAATATTGAGAACAGTTCGTTTAAATTTGAATAATTTTTCACAATATTGCTGTTTTTACTTTTTTCAAAAATTATTCAAAACAAATAAATATAAAAGAACAAAGGGAGGAAACGCATCACAAATCAAACATACAAGTGAAACATGAAACCTCCATCTGAATCCCTTATTTGTTATCCTTGACTTGGAAGTCTGTTCATATACGTATCAAATTTTGACCAAATAAATGCCTTGGTGAACATAAATACTGACCCCAAATTTTTGAATGGGAGTGTACATGCTAGTGTACACCAAAAAGTTGACAAAATTCAGTTTTAGCAACTTTATATTCATTCTCTATAAGCAAAATAAGGAAAAAATGAATTTAAAAAAAATTATAAAAGAAATGTTGGAAAATGATTCCAATAAATTCCTCCTCGTGGTTACGAAGGAATTGACTGGATTTCATTCATTTTGAAAGTGTCTTCATTGTGCTCGTCTATAATGCAAGCTGTCAAGTGTTTTTGCTGGACTGTGATGAAAACTAAAGGACATTGGCTAAAACAATAAGCAGTTCTTTGATATGTCCCGCCCCCCGTTTCCAGTTTCAATATGAACAAACTATGAATGTCTTTAAACACACATACACCAAGCTTCTCACCTTTCCCCTTTCTCCGTGTGTGTAGCCACCCTCGTAAGACGCCCACCCCGGCGTCAGAGAGCGAGTGGGCGAGGACGTGTCCAGCCGGAGACCGTTTCCAGGCAGCGAAGGACAGCGGCCGTTACTCCAGCTACCAGGGACATCGTTCCGTCCCGCGCACCGTTCCTCGTCACGGCTGCAGGAATGGCCTCTCCGTTCCCCCGGGAGCCGGTGGTACCTCGGTGGGTGGAGGATACAATGCACGTGTCCTTCTGGAGGCCCAGGAGCTCCTGCGACAGGAGCAGAGACGCAGGGAACAGGAAATCAAAGGAAGATGCCCATCAATGCGGCTAGACTACGAATCGCAGGATTCTAAAGGGCCCCACAGACAGGACGTCCCACCGTCCCCTTCACAGGTTGTCCGACTCAGCCGCATACACACACCTGAGAAAACGCGCCCGTTTTTGTCGTGAGAAGAAAGGAAAAACCTTTCTCCTGTTTTCAAAGAGGCAATCGCAAACAAAGGCTCTCTTACAAACATTTATTTGTGTGCCACTTGTACACAGACTCCCCGAGTGCCTTTTCTTTATGAGGTCACAGTGGTCCTGCCCAGATCGACATTGGCTCATTGGTGCGTCCAGAGGCAAGAAGTCTCTTGGTTCGCTGTGAAGACCTTCGTGCTCTGACAATCAGCCTGACACAGACCTGTTCCTCTCTAGAACCATGTAGAACTTGCAGTTTGCACAGGTTTCAATGAAGTTTTGTGAAGTAGAGCTTTTTTTTAAAAAGATTTATCAGATTCATTCTTACACATCAGGTAAAAGTTGTCAGTTAAACTTGTATTTGATGTAGTCAGGGGAGTCGCTAGTTTTGGGGGAAAAAGGGACTGAGTACAGGGGGCCCAGAAAACCTAGCAACACCACTGGACGTAGTCACATGTTTGTAGAACTCGACAAATCTAGGTACAAAATACACGGTCAGAGACTCCTGGGAATCCAGTGAAAAGAGAAAATCCCAAAAATGCAATGGAAAAGAAGAGAGAAAGGAAATGGGGTCACAGATAGCAGGTCATTAATTGATGCTCCTCATTAAATTTTCAGAGCTCTTTCACACACAGACACAGAACTCACGACCCACTGCTGTCTGCCAGGTGTGTGTGTGTGTGTGAGTTCCTGTCTCCCAGATGACCCACACTGAATTTTTCATCACACACACCAGCTGCCCCTGTATTGACAGGCCACAGCGCTCTGTGAAAGTTCAGACAAAAAGATTGTCTTCCCTTCTCCCTTAAACATGCATAAATGCGCGGACACACACACACACACAGGCTGTGTTTGAAATACCACATGGAATGTAATAAAAACATGTATAGCTTGTGTAGACAGACACACACAGAGTATATATGTACAGTACAGTACATATATACACACACATATATATATATATATATACAGTATATACATGAAATGTGCATAGCTTCAATATAGGCTATGTGTACAGAGTTACATGGATATATATAGATATCTATGGAAAATACAATGTATGTATTTTGAGTGTATATATATATACTATATATATATACATTACATGTATATATGTATAGCTCTGTACACATATAGCTTATAATGCTATACATATGACCCCAGTGTCATCTCATTTGTACCAATTGTACCAAAACTTGAGACTTTTATACACATAATTGGATATAAAATAATTGTATATACACTACCGTTCAAAAGTTTGGGGTCAGTGAGAATTTTATTTTTAGGAGGAAAGAAATCAATACTTTTATTTATCAAGGACAGTAAAGACATTTACAATGTTACAAAAGATTCTATTTCAAACAAATGCTGTTCTTTTGAACTTCCTATTCATCAAAGAATCCAAAAAAAAAAAAAAAAAACTGTACAACTGACAGACCAACAACTGTTTCAACATTGATAATAATAATAAATGTTTCTTGAGCATCAAATCCTCATATTATACTGATTTGTGAAGGATCATTTGACACTGAAGACACTGACACTGGTGATGCTGAAAATTCAGCTTTGATCACAGGAATAAATTACACTTTACTATATATTCACACAGAAAACAGCTGATTTACACTGGAATAATATTTAATACTATAACTGATTTTTGTTGTATTTTTAATCAAATAAGCGCAGCCATGGTTAGCAGAAGAGAATTCTTATAAAAGTATTTAAAATCGTACCGACCCCAAACTTTTGAACGGTAGTGTATACAATATACATACAAAATGAGCATTGAATTTAATAATGCACTTTTTCCCATATAAGCAGTATTCAGTGCATACTGCACTCTGCACAGTAAACATCACACTAGTATTCCGCTTCAAAAACAGCCACACACTCCTCTGCAGCACATGATAGATTGATGGATTTTATTGATCATTTAAATAGAAAGTCCTTACCCACTCCCTGTGCCGGAAGCATCACTTAAGCCCCGCCTCTTTGCATATCAGCTCCGCCCCCAACAGCTGCCGAGATGGTGAATCTGCATGAGAGTGATGCGTTTGAGTTCTCAGACTAGAACTTTGAGTCTCTGATAGTTCTGGGCTTTGAGTCAAGAGCTCCCGTTGAGCTGAGACTCTCTCAGACTGGAGTGTAAGAGGCTAGGTCAGCGCTGTGTGTGTATGTGCGCGGGGGCAGTGCCATATGAGCCAGCCCATGCTCGCTTGACACATAACAGTGGGACACATGGTGCGCAACACACTCTACTGCCCAGGCACAGATGGTTGGGTGCGTTTGGTGTGTCTGTGTGTGTGTGTGTGAGGATATAAAGATGATAACATGAAAAGAGCCTCAGTACGACATGACTAAACAATCAAGACACGTTGTTTTGTTCTTTTTCTTCTTCTTTGTTCCTCCGTATATCCAGTATGGAAATTTGCTCCTGATCTTGCCCTGCTCATCCTGTTTTGAACTTTCAACCCTTTTTAACCTTTTCAAATGAACAAAACCTCTTTTGCACCTTTTTAAATGTCACATTTCCAGATTGTAACAATTTGAATGAAGAAGCGTTAAACACATGGCGCCTTTGGTTCTTTTATTTATGTGTGTATCCTCCATAAGTGTCCTAAAGGTCAGAGGTCATGAGCGGGCAGAGATATGGGGTTTCCAATGGACTAATGTATGATTTTCTGGATATTTTGTGTTAGTTTGTTTACAGGACTCTGTACAGGGTTTTTTGCTTTTTGTTTCTGCCTGTGTCTGTTATTTTGTGTTGTTTATACGCTGTTGAGAAATTGGTGATGTTTAGAAACACAGCAGCTGTTTAACTTTAGACTGTACAAAACTCTTGTAAAATAAAGGAAGGGGATGCTCTTCTGTTTGCTGTACACTCTGTGTTTTCACGTGTGTGTGTGTGTGTCTGTGAGGGAGAGATCCATAGATATGTATACGTAGATGCCACATTCAACCACTCTACACACGTCGGCATGCCCGCCATCTTGCAAAAGGTCAGCGTGTCGTCACTCACATTAAGATTCAATGATGCCACAACATTGTGCAGCTTCTGCTTATGAAACCGCAAAGATTTCAATTCACAAAGAATTCACAGGTGAGAATGTGTTTTTATGTATTAACTCAATATTACAGGTTTCTACTTTGCTACTTTTGAATGTTTTTACTTTTACTACGGTAACTTTTTAATGTCGTGTCAGCTGACTCCTTAGTCTTGTTGTTTTGCTTTAGTTTAGCAAAATCATCTGCTGAGTTTTCATTTGTGCTGGAGTTATTTTGATGCCTGCTGTCCTGATCATGAAATTTTGCTTGTTTCCACCTCCTAGCCTTTTTTTCTAGAATTTTCATTTGCTTTGCAAAATTAGTCATTCTGTCATTGATGGAGAAAAGGTCACCAGGGTCAAAGGTCAGTCTAAATAGAAAGTCAATCCAGTTTTCCTTTACTCCAGATATGCCCCACATACTCCTGCTTACTTCTAAAAATGGTTACATTACAATAAAAAATGAGAAACCTGCTCTTATTCAGAAGAAATTCTGCAGCAAAATTATTTTCATTAACATTTGGTTGCATTAATGACTTGATGTAGACAAAACGACATACTAAAATGGTCTGATGGGGTTTTCTGGGTGAAATTATGTTTTAAGATATTTTTCGACAGCAAGATAATACAAAGACAATTAATATACATATATTAAAAAGTTTGGGGTCGGTAAGAATACACAAATAGAATAAAAAAAATACAGTTAAATGGTAAAATAGTGAAATATTATTACAATTTAAAATAACTAAATTCTAATTTAATAAAAAAAATGTATTCCTATGATGCAAAGCTGAATTTTCAGCATAATTAATCCAGTCTTCAGTGCCTTATGATCCTTCAGAAATCATTATAATATGCTGATTTGAATTTTTTTTAATTTATTTTTTTATCAAAACAGTTGTGCTGCTTAATAATTTTGTGGAAACCTTTGCTGCGTCCAAATATGCCAACTTCCATACTATATTATAGTAGGTGAAAAAACTTATGTGAGCTGAGATTTCTAAATTCATAGTATTCATAAGACAGTAGGCGAAAAGTATACTGGATGACCTACTGTTTCTATCGAGATCTGAAGTGCGCATTTGAAGGACACTTTACTATCCCATGAGGCCACGGGAGAGGAATTATGAATGGCAGTGAAGCGACACAACTGACGCTGGTATCACGTGACAGTAACAACATGGCGGATGTAGTATGTCCGAATTTCATTCACACTACCCAAATTGATACTATATTGAACATACTTTTTTTTTAATGGTTGCAAAGTAAGTTTCAAACCAAATGTAGTAACTACTATACAATATGAGATTTCGGATGCAGCACATGATTCTTTGACAAATAGAAAGTTAAAAAGAACAGCGTTTATTTGAAATAAAAATCTTTGGTAACATAAATATATTTACTGTCACTTTTGATCAATTTAATGCATCGGTGCTGAATAAAAAATATGAATTCCTTTACAAATCTCTCTGACCTCAAACTTTTGAATGTGTTGTACATTTCCTTTCGTTATGTGTAAATTGCACAATCATGCAGTTTAGCCTGAAACACTGATTAGTGGAATAGGAATCATTCAATTCCACACGATTCTTATTGCTACTGAAACGACTGCTATTTTAATATTTAAAAATGTGCATGTTCACCAGGATAAAAATGGAAAGAAAAAGCTGGAGAGAGAGAAAGAAAGAGGCAGAGAGTGCTGGGCCGGAGCAGATGGAGAAGCCCTTCCTCCAGATGTTTTTGAAGGTGCCACTCTCACCTGGAACCTAGCAACAGATGTGCTAATTACACACATGGACACACACTTTATTTCTTCTTGTGCTTTCTCTCTCACACAAACAACTAGATAAAAAGAACAGTGAATATTTCCCACACACCCAAAAGCATTCCTGACTGTAATTTTTTCCAATTCCTTTAAGTATTTATGTGTGTGTGTGTGTGTGTGTGTGTGTGTGTGTGTGTGTTTCAGCATAGTAGATGTGATTGCTTGAGTTTGTGGTTTATAATTCGTAAAAGGTCTTATTCTGACCGTGGGGCAGAGCACACACACACACACACACAGAAGTGACAGGAGTCTGACAGACTCATCTCTGTGAGACAAAGTGGTGTGCAGGAGGGCAAATTCAGGAGAAGCAAAGGCAACTGTTCTGCAACACTATCTGAATTGGTTCATGTTTAGAAGAGACTCGTTGGTTCTGCTTTACTGGATAAGTGGCTTGATCAACTGTTAGTTCAGATAGAGCAGAAACATTTTGAGGTCTTTAATGTACAATTAATGTAGTTAAAGACTGTCAGCAGCCTGTAATTAATATCTAGAAAAAACAACAGTTTCTATTGAGTTTTAAGCTAAGCAATATAATTAAACAATCAATAATTAACCCATTTGATCCAAAGCAGGGTTGGTATTATTTATATATGGTATATGCCATTTAATATTTTTCAGCTTTATTTTTAGTATTTTTGTCGTCTTCTTTTTTTTAATGTCTTCATTTCTTTGTATTTTAGTTTAGTTTAAGTCATTTTACCTCCGGTTTCACGGACAAGACTTAAGCCTAGTCTCAGACTAAAATGCATGTTTGTTGAGCTGTTTTAACTAAAAGCAGCTTGCACTGATATATCTTAAATGATGTCAGTGTCATTGTTTTGCATGTCTAGAGATGCACACCAGTGATGTTTTTTTAAGGCATGTTTATAAAAGCTACTTAAATGTCCTAATTGAACTAAGGCCCAATCCTAGCTTAATCTAAGCCCTGTCTGTGAAACCGGGCCTACGTACTATAACTTATTTCATTTGGTTCCCAAGGCGTTTAAATTTTATTTTTATCTAATATTTACATTATTTTTATTTCAGCTTATTTCAATTACTGAAAACATTTTAGTTAACAATAACAACACCGATCCCAAATGAATTAAATAAGGGCTTCTTATCAAATAAATAAAATATTCAATTGTTTCAAGTCGAAATTATTTTATGTCAGAAGAAACTGAGGGATATATCATATGAGAGACATGAATCTAGCCAGTCATTATATAAAAATATCTGAAAGCTGAAATTGTCCAATCAGAATCAAGTGCTCCAGTGAGCAGTTTAATGATGAATGAAGCTGGAAATTAGAGATTTGTATATTACTCCTTGGATAGACCGATGAAATAAGCCTTCATGGTTTTTCTGAAAAAGTTTTTAAGATGTTAGTGAAAGTACATGTGGATTATTTTTGGTCACAGTTGTAACCGGTGGGAAATAACAAAGAGAAAGAAGCAAAATTTGCTCAGTTGCTCAATAAGACCCAAAAGAAAATTGCAAACAATAAAGTAACATGATTGTAATATTTTTTACCAGCAGACTTTTTTTTCTTTTTTTATAATGGATTGAATCAGTTACATATTAAAAAAATGTAGCTTCATTTTTTCCACTGGTCACATGCTGCTTTTTTTTCTCTTTTTTTTTAACTTTAAGACAAGAGGGGCAAACTGGAATTAACGAGCTCTGATCATGTGAATAATTACATGATAAAACCAATAAGGTCACCCTGGTCTTATGTGTAATTAGTAAAAAAATAAAAATAATAATTTTGCCGGATTGATCACCATTAATCACAGTTTTACTACAAATACCGTGGTTAAACTATGGTTAGTGTAGCAAAACCATAGTTGGCATAGTTTTTGGTTTTATTTGAAGTGGTTGGGGACGTTAACTTTAATAAGGGCAGTCAGACTTTTATTTACAGTTGATAAAGACATTTTAGACTCTAATTAACATAATGTGTTTTATGCTGTTAAAAACGCGAGACTCAGGTCAGTGGAAGTGGGAAAGCGCAAGGTCTGGAAACGCTTTTTTTTAAAGTTGAACTTTTAACTTGAGCGCCGCGTTTTTTAGAATTCCGCGTCTGTTAAAGACATCAGTCTAGCACAGGTTTACATTGAAAAACAATTGGAAACGCTTTCTGTTTTTACGTTCATTTATAACTTGACTTTGAAACTAGAAAAAGATTAATTCAGCATTCAACTCCTGTCATTTTCTCCGGAGATCTCACACAGAAAAAAAAGATACTGAGGGGTGTGTGATCTGTCATGTGAGGAGGTCAAAAAGGATAAAGAAGCTAAGAATTGTATAGTTAGAGGACAATGCAGTGGGGAAAAAAAAGAAAGCGATAGAGAGTGACGGAGAGAAAGAGTGACCTACATTCTCAAAATCACCATTCATTACCGTTTATTCACATTTCCTCCCAGTGTTTTCCATACCACAGATTTAATGAAGATGCATCTTGTTTTCAACTCCTGATTGGACACATGGTAGCTTCATTCATCCTGTCAGAGCAGCGCGGTCTTTCTGTTTATCTCTGCCCTTCATTTATCACGCCATCCAGTCAGTGAATGAATAGTCCTGCTATTGTGGGCCACAGAGAGAGATTTCAGAGGTTAATGAACACGTCCACATCGAGTCAGAGACAATCACCCCACCCCACCACACCACGTACGCCTCGCTCTCTCGCTCCTCGCTGAAATAGTCTCTCTGTCAGCGTGGTATTGTCTAAGACTCTCAGTGGCCATTCACTCCACTT